AGAATCTGATGTCTGCTACCCACAAAAGAAAAAAGACAGTTTCTGACATAATAAAGCCCTAATAATAATAAATCATACCGTATCACAAAGTCACAAAGTTAGGACAGTACCCTTAAGCCCATATTCAATTAGGCAGCCTGAAGTATGAACGCTCCTTTTCTTATGATAAAAGGATTCCTTTAAAGTGGACATCCTTCTCTTCTCTAAAAAGCAATTTTGACCAAAATGAGCACTAGATCATACACTATCACAAAACTTCAAATTACTATTCTATTCATCTTTCATTGTCTTCCCCAAACTTTGTGTTAGTTTTGTATTTTGTTTCCGAGTCAGCATTGGGTCGGATATCCTAAACACAGACGCTTCTTCAATTACAGTAAACATCCACCCAAAAAGAAAATTCTTTTCCACGTAAAATTAACAAAGTTAGAACATAAAAAAATCGACCTCTTTTCGATAACTATCATTCCTTACCTATTCTTTTTTGAGTTAGATAGAGACCCTATAAACCTAAACGGCAAGCGTAATACTTTCTTGTGCAACCTCTCTTTCCCTGCACCTCATCCTCTAGTAAAAGTGATTCCTTGCATGTCCCACCCCTTTCAACTTTTAAATATTCCCTCCACAAATACAAAAATGATGCCACATAAACCTTTAAACAGTTGCACACCTGCATCTCAAAGCCAATTTTGAGGTTTTCAGCATCTTTCCTCATTTCCTACAAGATGGCTTCAGGGTTAGAGGTATGCCTGCATACTCAGAATTTAGTATTAGCACATATTCTCATTTTTCTATGAAATTTTGTCTACTCTCTCTTCTAAGGTTGTTTCAGTTTTCCTGCCAAAACTATGCAGAGACCTCAAATCACCGAGATAAATGTCCGCATGGATTGCAATGGGTGTGTGCAGAAGATAAAAAAGGCACTGAATGGCATCAATGGTAAGCAATTATGGGAATTTTAGCTGGTTTTTCGTTTCCTTCTCTCTGAAAGAAAACCTATTTTTATAAGGACGGTTTATATGTAATAATTCTGCTTGCCTACAGGGATATATGATCTCTACATCGACTTTCCCCAGCAGAAGTTAACAGTAATTGGATGGGCAGATCCTGAAAGAATCATCAAAGCTATAAAGAAAGTCAGGAAAGTTGCTACCATCTGTTCTCACACAGAAGCACCAGATCCTAATCCCCAGCAAGCTGAACCATCACCACCAGATGGCGCAGCCCCATCATCAGATGCAGGGGCACCACCCCCAGATGGAGGGGCACAACCTCAAGATGCGGGAAACGCTCAGCCAGCAGAGCCTCCAAAATCAGAAGAAGCACCCCCACAACAGGAACCACCAAGTGATCAACAACCACCACCACAACCACAACTACCTGAAAATCCACAGGCTCAAAATCAACCACCTGAATCAAACCCTCCAGCGGAACCCCAACAACCACAGCCAGCAGACGCTTACAGACCAAGGGGTGTAGAGGAGGTTCATGAAGTATACCACAATCCACCTGAATATAGTTATCGATATGGTCATAGCAATGGGTATGGACCTGGATACAGTCATAGTTATGGTGGACATTGGAGCAGCCAACCAGGAACTAGTCATAGACACGAGCAACCCCCTCAACCTGTTTATCACGAACCACCACATCAATCTGTTTATCATGAGCCACCACCACAACCTCTTTACCATGAGCGTCCTAGACCCATCTATCATGAACCACCACCTCATCGTGTTTATCATGACACACCACCTCATCCTATCTATCATGAACCCCCATCTCGGCCTATATATCGTGAACCACAATCACGACCCATTTATCATGAGCCACAATCACGACCTATTTATCATGAGCCACCATCTCAACCTATTTATCGTGAGCCACCATCTCAACCTATATATCATGAATCACCATCCCAACCTATTTATCATGAAGCACCAACAAGAACTGTTTACCATGAACCGCCACCTCAACCACTTCGCACGACTCACAGTTACAACATGTACAGACCATCATCTTCCATCACAGAATACCAATATGTACAATCACCACCACAACGCGCAGCCTATGGTATGACAGACCATTACAATATGGATTCCTATCGCAATAGCGCAGCGAGTAATGGGAATGTTACTTCAATTTTCAGCGATGAAAATCCAAATGCATGTACAATCGTATAGGTTCAAGAGTTTCATTGGGAATGGGGAATCCTATTTTTTTTTTTGTCCATTAAGGTTGATAGGTTGGAAAGCTAGTGGGCCATAGCATAACATTAAGTGGCTATTAATTACTGTATAAGCCTGTGATAATGCCGTGGCAAGAATCAGATTCTTACTTGTGATTAGAGAGGAATTGATGCAATATTCTGCCTTTCCAAGAGGTCTAACATACAGCCTTATATAAAACAAATATATAAAGAAGCATGTGCACATTTGTTTTATACTTGGGCTTGTGCTTTTAGAAGAAAAGATACTGTGTAGGTTAAAGTCATCAGATGGTCTACCTAGGTGCTTTAACATGATTGAAATGTATAAATTTCATGAAACATTTTGTAATTAAGTTATATATACTAAATGCAGAAGAAATACATGATTTCTCTACCATATAATTTTTAGTCAGAAGCAATACATTTTTCCTTTCAGTCTCAACATATGATATAACATAAAGATTTCTAGCACACCAGCAATATATCATGATGTGCAACGAATTGTTTTTACCTACCAGCCAATATAGACTCATAATACAACTTTGGCACCAATCAGCTCCAAATCTAAAATACATTCAACCCAGCCAATACCAGCACATATCAATCTACATAAGCCATAGAAGCCCGATAGACTAATTAGAACTCTTCAACTACGACATAAAAAAATAATTTTTAATTTTAACAGCAGGATTCTAACCTAAAAGATAGCCAGTAAAATTATCAGTAAACTATATAACCTAAATGAAATCCCCTAATTTTGGGTTCCCTCACCTTCTCACCTTTCCTCACAAGCCTCACTCCAATCAACACTATCCAAACAATGAAATCAAAGCCTTAACCTCAAGGAGATGAAAAGGGTAAATTATACAAAAACTAAGAAAATCTTGGCAATTAAAAACTTAACATTTCTTGGTGGACCTGAGATGGAGGTGGGGGGCTTAACACAATGAAACGGTGAATTTGTTCCAGCTAAATCACATAGTCAAAGCTTTATTAAGACCCAACTAATAAAAAATATCAGAAAAAAAGAATTTTTGTGCCATGGGTAGCTTCAGGCCTTCAGTTAGCCATGGGGTCTGTAGGAATAAGAAACACCATACCACAATATATGCTGCTGATTAGGTGTTTTAAGACAGGATACCTACAGTAGATCAGGAATTTCTCCCATCTGTCAGCAATGTAAGATGGACATTGTCATAAGCGTTTTTGGTGAGCCTTCCTAGGTTACCTTTGTTCACACTAAGCAGCCAGCCAAGGCTTTAGATAATGGAACAACGCAGATACTTGGTTTACTACTATAATATGACAAGTAGCAATGTAACATTGCCACATGCCAGAAAGAGGTTTGTGAAAGGTTTCCTGATATCAGAAACTTGGAGCATTTGGGATGAGGAAAACAAATGTTGTAGAAGACATGCTGGACAACTTGTCTGTACACTGCACTACGGAGTTGTTTTTCTTAGAACTGGGAAACTTCAGAATATTTCTGTGATGGATGATAATTTTGTCCTTGGTATATTTAGGCATTTATCTACAAGGCTTATCTGGACTGGTTGAGCTATTGCAACTATATATCCTAGCACACTAGTAGTTTCAGTATAAAAAACTATTAAACTAATTAAGTAATTATTATCTTTTAAAATAAAGTCTTTAGAAAATAACATCACATTATGAAGTATTAAAACACCAATAATCAATCCTAGGGTTTTAGATATTAAATTCATCTGAATAGCTGGGATTCTGGGCATATTAAAAAAGCTAAAGAAATTCAGAAAAAGGTAAGAGCAGAAAGATCACACTTGTATCTAATTCTACAAAAATTAAAGGAAATGTGACTTAATCCACTTCTTTACTCCCCCATCTTCATTACATATTGATCTATATCTATGTACTAGAGCCAAAAGGTTGGTTAGGTAGTTTTGCTGGCAGAATGGCAGGTTAAGGAAAGTTGCTCAAAGCAGAGTAAGCAGACAAGGCATAAAACAATTACATACATCTTCCACTACATTAAGTGTTTCTAAGATTATGCCTATATATTAAAGCGTTGATTATTACACTGAGATATAAAACTAACAAGTATTGCTGTACTGGAATTTTATTAATTCAAACAGAAAAGTATTGGTCTATTGATATTCTAAATGATTAGATACTTCATATAACCAGTGCAATCAATATTTATAACATGATATTCTATGTAAACAAATATTATTGTAAAATTGTAATAAATTGTAATATAAGGGTTTATTGTGTAGTTATGATTGGTTGGTTTTCGTTATTGATTGAGAGAATTTTTTTTGCCACAACATAGAAGGCCAGTCAAGCACAGGTGATGATGCTTGGTTGCAATTTTCATAAGATATGGCAGTGAGAGGAATCAAGGCAGAGGATACTACAGGACACTAATATAACTAGTTGGTTCTCAACTGAACACCAAGTTATAGTTGGTTCAGGCTAGGAGAGATAGGGAGGTGGGAGTCTATGATGTGATAAGGAGGTTGGTAGTGCGAGCATTCGCCTCTGCCTTTTTCCCCTATGCAAAGATTTTGATAGCATTGTTTTGGCAACATCAAGTTGAACTAAACCTCTTTTTAAGAGCCGTTAAAAAAAAAAAAAAAAACACCCTCTTTTTAAGAGTGTTTATCAAGCAAAGCCACATCATGTAACATCATCCATACAATGATACAAATGATCAACCAAGTTGATGGCGCTACATGGCAAGTTATAATGAAGGATAAACCTTTTTAAGCAGATAGGATTTAAATGCAGGTATGGATTAGAAAAGCGAGGAGGAGAAAATGGAATAGAGGAGATATATATATTAAATAATAATCTACCAATATTTTTACACATTGAGTGAACAAAATTTCATAAAACATTGGACACAAAATTGTGCAGTTATGGCAAGAAAGAGACATACTGCTTTGCTGACATTTCCCAGGATTTTTGCAGAAGATGGTAACCAGATGGAGGAAAACCAGATCATCTCATCATGAATGAACATAGATTGTAAAGTATCAGGTAGTTGCTGACAATAACATAGCATTGAGCTGCAAAACAGACAAAGCCATGCATTATGGTCTAGCAAACACTCCTGACCTCTGTACTAGACTGAGCAAAATATTAAGAATGGCTCAAATGACAGACTTAAGCAGGATTAACATCCACTATATAAGTATGCCCGTGGATAAGAAAATTTCCCATCTAACCCAAATCAGAATCCAGTGTGAGCTATCAATGCTCAAGTAGCCCACCCAAGCAAGAAACTTATGCCACATTCTTGACTTAACTACTACTACTAATAAAATAATAATAATAATAATAATAATCACAGCTGTAATGCTGTAATTTTTAAAAACCGTCTCCTCTTGGTTGTTCTTGGTTCGAACAAAAAGGAAATGTCTCCTCTTGGTTGTTCTTCTAAAAACCTTCCCACTTCCTGAAAAGACTGATTAATCCAGGTCCAATCATGCTGGAATAAGACTCAGAAGAGCTCTTGTGGTTAAAATTTTTTGAGATGATATTATGTTACAAGAGGATAGATTTGGTGCAAGAATTATTTAATTGATTCGAAAAAAGCACGACAAGCCCAAAAAACTTGAATTATGGAAGGGAACGGAGATTTGAAGCAATGAAATACAATCTCTTCTTCCATAAACACAGCCACGCTTTCGTAATCCCACCTCCCCCTCCCCCCCCCCCCCCAAAAAAAAAAAAAAAAAAAAAAAAAAGCCACACAAGCACATTTGACACCGCCACCGCCCCAAAAATAATCATAAAACAACTGAAAAAGATATTGTCTTGTTTTCAATATAATAGATGCAGCCTCATAGATTGAGCAGATATACAGGATAAGAGATAACCTCATCACTTAATCATTATTTTCTTCACTACTACTTGCGGATTCATCATCTTCTTCTCCAAACATAACTTCATCAACATTTTCATCTTCCTCTTCATCTTCACTTTCTATCATCTCATTTTCAGGTAGCGAGGGCTGAGTCTTCAATTGCGTAGCCTTATCAATCTACAGCAGGATACATGTAATAAGGCATTGATAAAAAAAAAAAAATGAATCCACCAAAGAACATAACATTACTTACCTGTGCAGTCACAAGCTGTAAACGGCCAGATAACTGCAACAAAGACTGAGTAGCTGACCCTTTTGATTTAGCAATCTAGAGAGGAAAAAAAACAAAACAATAAAATCAAGCCATGTCTCAAATAAAAGGGCTTACATGTGTCATGCCAACTAATATTTTAATGATCTAGATTAGGTTCTCTTAAGAAGAGAGAGAGAGAGAGAGAGAGAGAGAGAGAGAGAGAGAGAGAGAGAGAGAGAGAGAGAGAGAGAGAGAGAGAGAAGAGGTTGCAACTAGAGCTGTCAATTCGGGTAAACGGGTCGGGTTTGGGTCGAGTAAGAGTGGGTTGGGTCAACTCGGGTCAGGTCAATTAAGATTAATTCCATAACCTATGTGGGTCGGGTTAGGTTGGGTCATGCTTGAGTCGGATCACGTTGGGTCATACTTCTTATCGAGTTTGGGTCGGTTAATAACAGGTCGGGTTATATTCGAGTCGGGTGAACAATAGGTCGGGATTAATTCGGGTTTTTACGGTTTAGGGTAAATCTCAGGTTCGAGTTGGGTTCGGTTCAAGTTAATAATTTGCGGGTTAGAAACAGTTCGGGTCATTCTTGAGTTTGAGTCGGGTTCGGTTCAAGTCAATAATTTGCGGGTTATAATCAGGTTAGGTCATTTCCAAGTCGGGTCATTCTAGGATTCATGTCGGGTTATGTTCAAGTCAATAATTTGCAGGTTACAATCAAGTCGGGTCATTTCCAAGTCAGGTAATATTCGGGTTCAACTAACTATAAATAGATAATTATCATTTTTATCAAGCTAATTATTTCCTTTGACTGTAATATATATGGCAATATACTAGGGAACTTTAGTCTATAATTTAGGAAGATAATTACCATACAACAAATATATACTATATTTAGCTCTTAAATTAGAGGATTATGCTCCTTTCTTTTGCTGGTTTGGACCGACTTGGTCTCCCAAGACAAAATGCTTTGATCAATAATAATAAGGTGGTCTAAATTACATTTAAGATGGTTTGAAATCGGGTCAGGGACAATTTGGGTTGAATTTAGGTCGAGTCAATAACAAGTCATGTTAATTTCAAGTCGGTTTAGTAACATATCGAGTTGAATTTTTGGGTTGGGTAAGTAATAGGTCTGGTAAAATTCAGGTCGGATCAATAACAAGTCGGGTTGAATTTGGGTCAGGTTAATAACAAGTCGAGATGATTTCGGGTCATATTTGTAACGGGTTGGGTTAAATTACGGTCAGGTTAGGAACGGGTCTGGTTGAATTCAGGGTCGGGTTAAATTCGGGTTTTGACGGGTTTGGGTAAATTTCAGTTCAAGTCGGGTTCGATGCAAGTTAATTAAATTGGCCGTTGTAAGCCGGTAAATCGATGCAAGTTGTAAACCGGTAAATTGACCGTTTAAAAGCAAATCAAATGGTTCCACACACCCAATTGGACTCCCGGAAGGTATTAGGGACCATGGTAAATATTTTGTTATTTTTAATTCCGGGCGAATAAAAGTCAAAAAATTTCCAAAATTAAAGGCTATTGTTCACGGTTTTTGAGAAATCTTGGAGGTTTCAGGGCCCGATGTCGAAAAGTCTTGAAATTTTATAGGATACATCTTGGGGTCATATAATGCTGTTTGGAACCATATATGATACGTTAAATTATGCCTTAGAATAAGATTATATGGCATATGAATAAGTCTACCTCGGCACCAAGTGTTTTATTTGGCAGCAATCTTGGTAAAACTTGGGTAACAAGTGTTATACTTAGGCACCAAGCTTGGTAAAGTTTACCTTGGGCTCCAAGGTTAGGAGGTCTATAAATACCCCTTAGGATTAGTCATATTCATTCATTCATTCCATAAGTAGTATTTCATATGGTGATACTCATGGGGAATAATCATGGGATATATTCATGGAGATATTCAATATCACTGTGTAATATATAACTGTAATCTGGAAAAGATCCTCAAGATCAATAAAAGGTTTTTCTCTTGTGTGTCCGTGGAGGTAGCCAATTTGATAATTGATGAATCACGTAAATCTGTGCATTCTTGTTAATACATTTTTATTTTGTTTATCCCTCACATCTGTTATAACATGATCATTATTTGTTGTCATAAATGTTCGGCTTGAATTAATGAAATCGGTGCAAGTTGTAGACTGGTAAATTGGTCGTAAAAAGGCAAAATAGATGCTTCCACCCACCCAATTGGAATCCCGGAGGGAATTAGGGACCATGGTAAACATTTCGGCAATTTTTATTTCTGGGCGAAAAAAAAAAACAAAAAAAAAATCAAAATAGAAGGCTAATATCCACACTTTTTGAGAAATTTTGGAAGTTTCGGGCGTAGTGTCTAAAAGTATTAATATTTTAGGGGATACATCTCGCGGTCATATAATGTCGTTTGGAAACATATATGAATCATTATATGTTGTCAAAAATGTTCGTAGTAGACTTGAGTTAATGAAATTCGTGCAAGTTGTAAACCGGTAATTAAATTGGCCGTTTAAAGGAAATAGAATGGTTCCACCAACCCAATTGGACTCCGGGAGAATATTAGGGACCATGTTAAACATTTTGGCAATTTTTATTTCTGGGCAAAAACAGTGAAAAAATTCCAAAATTGTAAACTAATATCCACGCTTCTTGAGAAATTTTGGAGATTTCGGGGCTCGGTGTCGAAAAGTCTTGAAATTTTAGGGGATACATCTCGGGGTCATATAATGTTGTTTGGAACCATATATGATCATTTTTTGTTGTCATAAATGTTCGTGGTAGGCTTGAGTAAAAATGAAATCGGTGCAAGTTGTAAACCTGTAAATTGGCCGTTTAAAGGCAAATTGGATAGTTCCACCCACCCAATTAGACTCCCGGAGGGAATTAGGGACCATGGCAAACAATTCTGCAATTTTTATTTTCGAGCGAAAAAAAGTCAAAAAATTCCTAAATTGATGGTTGATCCATGTTTTTTGAGAAATTTTGGAGGTTTCAAAGCCCGATGTCGAAAAGCCTTGAAATTTTAGGGGATATATCTCGGGGTCATATAATGCCGTTTGGAACCATTTATGATCATTATATGTTGTCATAAAGGTTTGTGGTAGGCTTGATTTAATGAAATCGGTGCAAGTTGTAAACCGGTAAATTGGTCGTTTAAAGCCAAATTGGATGGATACTCTCCAATTGGACTCCCGGAGGGTATTACAGACCATGGTAAAAATTTCGGCAAATTTTATTTCCGAGCAAAAAAAATTAAAAATTCCAAAATTGAAGGCTTATATCCACGCTTTTTCAGAAATTTTTGAGGTTGGGTACGATGTCGAAAAACCTTGAGATTTTAGGGAATACAATTCGGGGGTCATATAATGCCGTTTGGAACCATATAAGATCATTATATGTTCTCAAAAACGTTCGTAGTAGGCTTTAGTAGATAATCGATGCAAGTTGTAAATCGATAAATTAGCCGTTTAAAAGCAAAATTGGATGGTTACACCCACCCATTTGGACTCCCGGAGTATATTAGTGACCATGATAAACATTTCGGCAATTTATATTTCCAGGCGAAAAAAAGTTAAAAAAATTCAAAATTAAAGGATTATATCCACGGTTTTTGAGAAATTTCAGATGTTTTGGGGCCAGGTGTCGAAAAGTCTTGAAATTTTAGGGAATATATTTCGGGGTCATATAATGTCGTTTGGAACCATATATGATCATTATTTGTTGTCATAAATGTATGTGGTAGGCTTGAGATAATGAAATCAGTGCAAGTTGTAAATCAGAAAATTGGTCGTTTAAAGGCAAATTGGATAGTTCCAACCACCCAATAGGACGTTTGGAGGGTATAAGGGACCATGGTAAAGATTTCGGAAATTTATTATTTATGGGCAAAAAAAGTTAAAAAATTCAAAAATTGAAGGCTAATATCCACGCTTTTTGAGTTATTTTGGAGGTTTCAGGGCCCGGTGTTGAAAAGCCTTAAGATTTAGAGGATAAATCTCGGGGTTATATAATGCCGTTTGGAACCGTATATGATCATTCTATGTTGTCATAAATATTTATGGTAGGCTTGAGTTAATGAAATCGGTGTAAGTTGTAAGCCGGTAAATTGGCCGTTTAAAGGCAAATTGGATGGTTGGAACCATCCAATTGGCCACCCGAAGGTTATTAGGGACCATGGTAAACATTTCGCTAATTTTCATTTCCGGAGGAAAAAAAAGTCAAAAAAATTCCAAAATTAAAGTCTAAAGACACGTGGTTTTTGAAATTTTTTTGGAGATTTTGAGGCTCGGTGTCGAAAAAACCTTTCGGCAATTTTTAATTACAGGCGAAAAAAGTCGAAAAATTTAAAAATTAAGGCTAATATCCACGCATTTTGAAAATTTTTTGAGTGTTTGAGGCCCGGTGCCTAAGAGTTTCAAAATTTTAGGGTATACATCTCGAGGTCATATAATATCGTTAGGAACAATATGTGATCATTATTTGTTGTCATAAATGTTCGTTGTATATTTGAATTAATAAAATCGGTGCAAGTGGTAAACCGGTAAATTAGTCGTTTAAAGGTAAATTGGATGGTTCCACCCACCCAATTGGACCCCCAAAGGATATTAGGGATCATGGTAAACATTTTGGCAATTTTTATTTCCGGCAAAAAAAAGCAAAAAAAAATTTAAATTAAAGGCTAATATCCACGCATTTTCAAAAAATTTGAAGATTTCGAAGCCAGGTGTCGAAAAGAAATGAGATTTTATTAGATACATTTTGGGATCATATAATGACGTTTGAAACCATAAATGACCATTGTATGTTGTCATAAATGTTCGTGGTAAGTTTGAGTTAATAAAAACGGTGCAAGTTGAAAACCAGTAAATTGGATGGTTCCGCCCACCTAATTGGAATCTCGAAGAGTATTAGCGACTATGGTAAACATTTCGGCAATTTTTATTTTCGGGGAAAAAAAAAAGTCAAAAAATTCCAAAATTTAAGGCATATCCACGCTTTTTAAGGACTTTCGGAAGTTTTAAGACCTAGTGTCGAAAATCCATGAGATTTTAGGGGATACATCTAGGGTTCATATAAT